TAAAACTGGTGCAACCGCTTATCCGAGTAGTGATCGGGCTTTACTTCAAAGCCATGCATACTCTCGACGACATAATCAATATCATGTCCAACCTAATTTGCTTTCTTCACATGACACGTCAATTACTAGTACGACATCCAACCCTCAATCTCATTTATCGCGCTCTGATCTATCATCATCTAATTACCCGCTTGTTGATAATAGCAACATGGTCAAATTGTTTATTTTGCCTCACCGGCCCCTTTCAAATGATTCACTCGCCTATCCTACTCCGAACTCAATTTCGGCTCCCTATTTTAAAAGTCATATAGCTCAAGATGATGCTCATTCAGAATCTTCCACCTCCCATTTGCGATCATTTACTGGTGGGGTTTACGATCAGGAAGCTGGAGATGAAGAGACGCCTTTAGAAAACGAGTGTTCGCGAAACTTGGCAAAAGATTTTGATGAAGTTGGGCCGGCTGACGCAGATGAAGATTCTGACGACGGGGATGAAGAAAGATTGACCATTCAAGAAAAAACTCATCATTCATTCGGTGATACTAGCTGTCCGTCAGTTGACTTTCAAGCTGCCATTGTTTCGCAGCATAAGCCATCTTCTTCCATACAGCCTCATTTGCAGCAACATCACTACCAACTAGCTCCTTCAGATAAAGACTCTCAACATATTTCAGACAAGGTGACTGAACTATCGGATCGATTTGCTCTATTACCCGTCTCTCACCAACGCTCTGGCAGTCAAATAGAATCTCATCTTTCCTTGTCCCACCAGGCTGCTATATACCCAGCCGAACATCGTCCTTGTGATAGCCAACCCTCTTCTCTCAATTCTCTCATCTCTTATAGTGATCATCCGAATAATGAGTTACATCCATCTCCCAGACTAGTTTTCGCCCCGCGCCACTTATCCTCCCACAAGTTGAGAAATAGTATAAACAGGTTACATATAAATGACGTTGATGCGCCTACTCTGTCTAAAGAGGCCAAGGAGATGAAGGAAACAGAGGCGGGAACATCTCTGTGGTGGCGGACAAACCTTACAGGTGACGTTAGTCCTGACAAAGTGGAGCTATGCAACCACCCTTTCGAGGATTGTTATAAATCAGGACATCATCTATTTCAAAATCAGCAGCAACAGCCCAAAGCAAGACAGCAACAGAAGTATAGATATTCAGATATTCGTAAAGCCTCAGGTAGCTTAATTATGCGTATTAGACTGTCCTCATATTTCTTCAAGTTTAGCCTTTTCTTTTGATATATTTACTTGGTCTGGTCTCTTACGCAATTTGGTCATAGTGTCAGGAAGGCTTTGAAAAACGTTTTTAGCACTGCGTCCTTTACCATATTTGTGTTCATGTGTCCCAGCGTTGCAATTAAACTAGTAAGCGGTCCAATTTTGGAATAAATCGTAGCAGAGGACGCAGTATGTACTACGTCTTTCGAAGTCTCT